AGTTTTGCTCGAATTGCAGAAAACTGGACGTCGTGTGAAAATGCTCATTTTACTACAGTTGTTTGCTATTGCCTCGCTTAATTCCAAAATCAGGCCTCAGTATGGGCACAGCAGCTTTTGAAAATCATTTATTTTGTGTTCGAAAGACACTGGAAATTGGCCAGATTTGACAACATTCCGTTAGGACAGCATGCGAGCAACATTGCATTTAGAGGTTGGTATACGCGACATTTAGTGCTCAACTTAGTATATCAAGGCGAAATGTTTGATGTCCAGCGAGATTTCCAATTTCAGGCAGATTGCTTCACAGACAGTACCACAAATGAAGCAATGCAGTGCTGTTTTTGAGCAATATTCAGGCTGGATGATACATTTCAGTGAAATCTTTGCATGTTTGGCCAATTAGGAAAAACAGATATCAGAAACCCCGAGCTGTTTCAAATCACGGTGCCTTCTAATATATGTTTGGTGTTATCAAGTGTGCACACTTGAAAACCCCTTTGAAAAATTTTCTGATAACTTAAATTGTGATGCTAATTTCAGGAGTTGTTTTGTGTTCAAGCTTTGGGAATTTTCTTGTTGTGTGCCAAGCATTCTAAATGTGGTGATAGATCATGTGTTGGAGCACGTCAGGTAAAACAGAGTCATGAATTGGATATGGTTACTGTGGTTACTGTGTGTTACTGTGCTTACTGTGTGGTTACCTGGTGTCTTAATTAATGCAAGTAATGCATCATTTGGCTATTTTTTTTGCACAATATGGAAACCTAGAACATACGATGCAAATTTAGGATCAGGGAATCGTGTATGTTAAGTAACGGGAGATGGCCTGCCTTACCCACTTTTTTAGTGCCGTAAGCAGAAGAAAGTCTTTAGAACCATTCATCTTTTTGGCATTAATATAGGCTCATTAGCTGACAGGAATCATGTAGAGCTTAATTCGCCAAAGCGTTTTAGTGGGTGGAATGCACTTGAATGTGAAAATCAACAAGCTGCAGAATTTAGCTCTGGCTTCCTTTTTCTGGCTGCAAATCATGCTAAGGAGACAGTTCAGGCTAATTATATCTTGTGGGAGACAGACTTATACTATTTTTACCTCCGAAAACTTCCCAAATTGGGCCCTGGGGCCAAACCGGGTCCTGAAGCCGGTCTTTCAGCCAAGGGGTCCCTCTTCGTCGCTAAAGAGACCTTGCTTTTTATTCAAATTGTTTTTGAAGTTCGGGACTATTGAGACATCGAAATTCTTTTTTGAATGTTTTTGAAGCGCTACGAACGTCTACAACTGCCAAAAGGACTGTGCTGCCGACCCCAGGGGACCCCCAACCAGCTCCAGGGAGTGGGCATAGCCTCAAAAGCCCCTGGGCTTGGGCATCGACTCATCGCGATAAAGAGTGACGTGTGTCAAAAGCCCAGGCACACGTGCAAAGTCACAGACGCTTGCAACCTTCCTTCTATTTACTTTGTCTTCGTCCCCTGGCGACCTTCCGAGAACGGTGGCGCTAGCTTCAGGCAGGCGGATGGGTCATGTGGCGTGGATGGGTCAGAGGTCAAGCCGAACGAAAGGTGCGCGCGATGGCAGATGCTTCGGTTGGAATAACATCAGAAACAGACTCGTGCACTCGTGGTCCGTGCACTCGTGGCAAGCATGTAGCCAAAATATTCATAAGGGGTTGCAATGTCAAATGTTCCCCAAATTCTGCGAATTTTGGCCAAAGTCCTGCGAAATCAACAGCACCTAGTGTAAACCTCTCGGCCCAGGGGAGGGGGACAGCCTGCTGGCCCTCCTCCTGGCTACGGCTCTGATTCGCACCGCCATTCGACGGCATCTCTGCCTCACCGGAAGGGCTCGTTCGTCAGCAGCCCTGCCGCATCGCGAGGGCTCGTTCGTCGGTGCGGCCGGCCGACGAGCGCGGCAAACACGCATTCTAACCTACCGACCTGTTGCTGAAATAGCTGTCGTCGATTCGGAGCGGTTTTTGTAGCCATGAAATCTTGATTAATTGCTCAGTGAAATCACGTTCTCTTATATAAGTTTGCAATAATTTAACTATTTTATTATTTATGACGTTGAATGAAATATACTTCGCAGTTTTGTGACAAGTTGCCGTCTCGTTAGAAGTGTACTGAACATCGTCTGCTGGTAACTTTCAGTTGTTAAGCTTTCTAAGGGAAGCAGGAGCGTAGCAGGCCGTTCTGCCGCGTGCGTGTCAGGTGGGTGCAGAAGGCTGCATCATTTGCTTTGTTTTACCCGCTACATGGTTTTAATCACGATGAGAAGAAACCTTGCAAAGCACGAGATCTTGTGCTGGCTGGTCGCCCGCCAGTGGAAACTGCTGGAAGTTTTGTAGCCTTCTGCAGACAATTTCGAATGTTTTAGGGCATGTCGTTCATTAACATGGGGAAAATGGTTTGGCAACAGCTCGCGAGAGCTTTAAGTGAGAAGCTTTACTCATTTTTTCAACGTCAGCGAAAACGGTGAGGTCAAGGAGGTCTTCTCCAATACGAGGGTTAGGTCAGATTTGGTTAGATTATAAACCAAGCCCGAGTTTCCTGGTACAAGCGGTAGCGGTCTAATTTTTCTGAATGCGTGTTTTCGCAGTAATCAGGTATCAACAGAGCAAAAGCGCCGAATAAGCTGGGTATGCTGCTCTATTTGTATTGAATTTCCACAAGTTTTATTGACGTTTTGGTGAACCGAGTTTACCTAAGCAAAAAGTATCACTCAGCGGTAGTGGTATAGTCCCATCGCACTTCACACATCGCTTCTACACTTACTATTATATGGACATTACCTAGTGGCATACACCGACGCATGCACTGAGTTGCATTATTTTGGTAAGCATATACCTCGGGGCTTAGGTATCCACACGGTGTGTGAGATTTCCCCGAACACACGATTATGGTTTATCAAAAGACATCATTGGGTCGACGAAATTTCCGAACCAAAGCCGTTAAATTGTCTAAGAAGCGTTGGGTGGCTCATCAAAAGTCGCACACAAGTCTGCGCGCAACCGAAAATGCGTAATGTATGCATCTCCTCATCAGATGTCATGATTCAAACCTCCCATGAAACGCATGACACACGCACACCCCCTAACTGCTCCTGATCCCTCGTCATTGATCGCAACAGGATCCTCCTTACACGGCGTTTTGCATGACAATACCAGCGGGACCATCGCTGCTGGCAGAGAACGGCCGCGTGTCTGGGCAGCGAGGGTGGGGCGGGTTGCTACGAACAAGGGTTCGAACCTGAGTCGGGTTCGAACAAGTTAAAGCCTTTCTACCCCCCCCCCTCCATGATTGGGGTGCTTCATTCCGTTTTACTTAATCCGTACAAATTTGCAATGTTTTGGTTTCAGGGTGTTTGGAGTTGAAAAGCCGCTTTTGGAACAACGATGTTAGGTTCGTTTCGGGATTTTCTTTTTTGTTTTTTGCTCATGTTTTCACGGTCAACGCTTCCCACAAGCTACGGTATGGGCTCATGTTAAAATTCAGTAAGATTGCTGGCCGACCCCCCTCCCCCCGCCCCTATCTCCACACGGCCCCTGCGGCCCCGCAACCCCTTGAATCCGCCCCTGTCCTTCAAGTCCGCGGTGCACTCTCGCTTCTCCTATCCCCGACGCCGCAACCCTTCCGGGCCGGGTCACAGCACCCCTTCATCCTGCCCCCTCCCCCTTCCCCACGGGCGCCGTCGGCCGGGCGAATTAACAGCCGTCACTTTGTCACAATATTGATTAGTCTGGCGGTGGGGCGGCGACGCTGTCACGCGGCGGCGGCACCTGCGGAGGGGGGTAAAAAACCCTGACGGACAGGTCGCGGGCGGCCCTGCAATTGGCGTCGCCGCCGCCGCTGCGTCACGCCACGTGACACGCGTCACGCGGCGTGACGCGCGAGGCGTCGGCGGCGTGAGCGCGAGTGAGTTGGTGACGTCATGGGTCTGGTGACGTCACTTGCCTGGTGACGTCGCTAGTCTGGTGATGGATGCGGTCTACGCTTTGTTAAATATGTTGCGGGAAGGGTTGTGACTGGGTTGACTGATGAGTACAGTGGGCGCTGCGTGACGGACCCGAGCCCAGAACGGATTCAGAGCTGGATTTCTGGAAGGATCTACACTACTCCGCGTTCAAAGTCGAGCGGTTGACTTAAGTCAAGGCTGCTGCGTCCAGCCCCGCCCCCCCCCCCCCCCACGCACGGAAATGCACACCACATCACACATGACAGAGATTAATTACAGTCAGGCCAGCTGGTGACGGCGGCGGCGTGAATTATTCGCATCGAAAAGATCCACCGCATGCGAATAGCACTGAATACGGCCACAATACGGGGCGCGATTAGCGGTGATGGTACTTGAGTGTTGAAAAACACTGTTCACTGGGTATCGATCTGCTGTTCTAAGAGGTCCCGGACTCACGCTTGAAAGGGTTGAAAAACTGCCGGGACCGGGCTCCGGCGCGCGCGCAGCTGCTGCCCGGGTTAACTGCCTGCTGTGCCAAGGTCTTTGGCTATCGGCACGCACGATAATGCCATTGTGTGAAGCTTGCAGATGATGGTGTAGCTGGTGATTGGCATAATATGTGTGCGCTGCTGCTCGTCTTACCACCGCTGGCGTGACAAATGGTCTAGGTGTCTAGGTCTATGCCCAGCCAGTTCGCGCTGCTCCGCTTTGGGAGGGACTTACGCAACGCGAAGCGAATCGCACCTTGTTTCAGTATGCTAAAGCTACGTGCTAGAATGGAGCTCACGAGAAATTTGGCCATCGAAGTGTACCAAAAACGCCCCTAGTAAGTAAGTAAGTAAAAACGCTTGTAAGTAATGTCAGGGTTCATGGTAGGTGTTGCCTAGTGACAGATAACCAGGGACATGGTGTTCCCCAACGCTTGACATTTCTGGACAAATAAGGTAGACGCCAGACGTCCGCTAGCTTTCTTCTGCACATGTCCGTTCCTCTTCTACCTGTCCGCGGCAGGTACACCTATACACGTCATCGGCCGTGCTGAATATGATGAGCTTTGCATTATATTGTAAAATCAAACAATTCGCTGATGTATAAAACAAAGCAATATTGATATCGTCAGAAAACACAATGCATGCGTCCCATACGGAAATATAAATAGCATTCCTTACGCACATTTTACACCAGACTACCTTCTAACCATGACAGAACTGGCCACCCTGATACGATCCCATTATGTTCGGCGCGAGTTTGTATATAACTCAGCATCTCCGACACTGATTGCTTCCAGTGTGAGAGTCACGCACCCACGCTCTTTCTGTTACGCATATTTCCTTTGTGCTTAGCTTACCAACGCTACCAGTAAGAGCAAAGTTCGAGGTGCAGTACTCAACATTGAACACGAAGATCACATGAACGATTTCGATCCGAAAACAATCCAGAAAATAACTTGACAGCCCTTTCGATCGCTCCAGCTCGCGCTCTGGCCTCGCTGCCCCACTCTGTGCACTCCTGAGTTCGCCTCTGCGCATCACAACATGAAATTGCAGCCGAACTCGTGTTGGGCCGCTGGCGCCGTCGCGTAACACGTCTGCATGAGGTCGTAGGCGTGGCCTGTCGATGGCGGCGGCTGATTGGCCGCCGTCCGCTCGAAATCCAGCGCCTGAGGCCACGCGGCAAAACCGCCCGCAGCGGTCACGTGATCCGGGTAGCCGGAGGGCGCCGGCTCCATGAAGCCGAACATGCCGCCGCCGTGGCTGGAGAATATGTGTCCGGGCTCGACCTTGACCGCGCAGCTCGTGGGCGCGCCGAAGACCCCCGGGTCGGCGGCCAGTCCCTGAGCGCTGGGCTGCGGGCTCACCGTGTTACCCTCCCGTCCCAGTCGAACCGTGACGTTGCCAACCGCCAGCAAAACGCTGCCGTCCACGTCCCGAACGCCGCCGCCGCCGCCGCTGCCGCTGACGCTGCCGGCCGCCTCCAGCGTCCTGGACAGCGCCACGATGTAGCTGTTGGCGAAGCGGAGCGTCTCGATCTTGGTGAGCCGCGTCTCCTCCGGGAAGGCCGGCAAGACGGTGCGCAGCTTCTCCAGCGCGTGGTTCAGCATGTGCATCCGGTTTCGCTCGCGGTCGTTGGCCTTCGCGCGCCGCAAACGCCGCAGGCGCACCACCTGCGTGGGGCTGCGGGCGCGAGCGCGCGGCTTGGAGTAGCGCTTCCGCCGCTGGCCGTCGGTGGCGCTAGCGTCGCCCGCCGTGGCGTCACAGCTTGCGGCGTCGATGGACGGTGGTAGTGACGTCATCTGGTGGAGGGGGTGGCTTTCAGTGGCGTTATCGAGGCACACAATGTGCTAAACAGGTTTCCCGGCGCAACACATCGTGTTCAACGGCATTCGTAGTAAAAATGAAAATTATACCACGTGACCGTTTGTCGCTGATGAATAAGTAGTGACAAGCGCTTGCGCGCTTGCTTCGCTGCGCTTAGTGAATCGCCGGTACCGCGAAATGTTGATCTCAGAGGGGAAGAACCATCTCAGAAATTTCGGGGGTGGGGGACGGAGCAACACGGATTGGGAAGTTAGTCGTTCCCGCGCATTGTTATAGGATTAATACTAAATTGTCTCAAAAAGTGCGGCCATGTCCCTCTCCACTTTCGTGTCCCCCTATTCCAAAGCCTAGTTGGGCTGTATCGAATGCCTTGAAAGTTGATAGCCCAAGGCCAGCTGTGCTGAGCCCACGGGGCTCGGTATGCCAGCCCCTGACGGTGGCCGCCGTTCGTGACCTTTGATCGAAGACGGATAAAGTTCAGCAATCTCGCTGAACTCTAACATGAGCCTATGCGGTAGTTTGTGGAACGGGTTGGCCGTGAACAGCCTGAGCCTAAAAAATAACTGCATAAAATCCCGGATCAAATATAGCATAGCTGTTCCAAACGCGGTTTTTCAAATTCAGTGAAACATAAAATGAAAGTATTGCAAATTCAGACGGACTTAGTAAAATGAACTAGGACATCCTAATCATGTAAGTTCCACCAGTGGGCGTTCACCACCTACAACGTAATGCAATACGATAATCGTCTCCTAGAATACCGCGCAAGCAAGCAAAAAAATTGTGGTACTATTATGGCACTAAAATGAACTCCCCAGTAGGTAGAAAAATACCTACTGCATGAACCAGAACGTGACCTCCCCGAATGCAAAAGAAAAAAAAGCTGTAGCGGTCCCGGCAACCTCTTCAAATACTAATGTGCTCAACGATTTTGGCAGAACTTCGGCACCTGTCAGATCAGCAATGGGGCTTCGGCCAATACCGGAAAACGATTTTCATTGGGTTCCTGATCACATCGAGTCGAACATTTCTCCATGATGGAAAGTTGATCGTCCCGGGCAGTTTTCGGTCGGGCCCATGTCTTCCGATCGGTAAACCTAACATTTCGAGTGCCAAGTGCATACCTACTATTCACACCCACTGTTGTGCGCTGGAGTGAGGAGTCCGAGTGAGGAGTGAGGAGTCCGAAGCGGGACAACAGCGGGAGGAGTCCGAAGACGACGCAAAAAGTACAGTTAATTCCTCATCATGCTTTTTTAAAGAATAATATGCTGAACCAACAGCGGGAGGAATGTGGAACTTGCACAAGAAAAATGACAATCACGAGGCTTGTGATGGACGAAAATAACGGCCAAAATGGCCAAAATGCGGTGGCCGTAAGCATCAAAGTCCGACCATGTAGAAACATCGCAACATAGAAAGTGAACATGCGGCGAAAATATGAGGCGCGCATGCCACGTGACTCATATGAGTCAGGAGCGAATGGCTCCTCTACTATGCAATTAACCAAGCAATTTTTCTTCTTGGTTCAACCATCTAATAATCGTTTGGAATTTGCACCTACGTAAACGAGTACCATTCCGCTGCATTCGTTGCAAAAACGAATGAATGTCATTTCATTCGTCGAAGTACATTAACGAAACAGAACGGATAATCGCACAACAGACCAAAGCGACACCGAAGGATTTGTCATTCAAAGTCAAGAGATCGTTGCTTCTCCCTGAACGCTGAGGCATACTAAGGCACTCACAATCTACCAGCAGCCAAAAGGCATCAAGCAAAAGAGAATCCACGCTAGTCAGAGCAAGAAAGGTCCTTCGCGCTGTGGGCCGGACAAACAAGTGGCGGCCTTAAATCTCGGGGCACAGGGAGCACGCGTTTCACGTTTGTCAAAGTGAAGGGCATGCGTTCTTCGAATTTCCGCCGCTTGCTTTTTTCATTTGATGTCTTCTACACATCCCCCACTCAGTCCCCTCCCCATCCGACGTTGCAGCAGCAGTAGCGGATCCAGTGACGGCCGTTGGAGCTCTGATTTAGTCCAAAGGTGATGCAAAAAGTACAGCTAATTCCTCACTATGTTTTTGTAGAGAAAAACTCCAGGTATTTTCCAAATTTTTCCCTGCTCAAAACTTTACTCAGTTCCTGTCGGGCGGAGGCACAGCGAAACTTAACAGATGAGCCAGGATAAATTCATGGAGGATTTGATTTTGATGCCAACTTCGGGCGACGTTTGGCCATTTAACGTTCACATGATTTCCTCAGCTGACTTGGTAGATATGCGTCCATACTAAACGGAAATGGCACAGCATAAGGGTTGAGGCATTTACAAGAATTTCGATTTCCAAGAGCTGCCAGATATTAAGCCCTGCCCTTGCCACGTAACCTACCGCGTGGCGCCAGTGTCTACAAAGGCCATACTAGCACCCGTGGAAGGACACGGTGCAGCCGGGGTTCGAACCCGGACCCTCCGCGCGATAGCCAAAAGTCCTAACCAATCAGTCATGTCGCGCCAATGTTGTCTGCTCGCGGTAGGTGTCGAACGTATGCATGTAAACAAAGTTACAAAGGCATGCTTTGAATAGACGACTCACAGGGGCGTACCGCCTAGCAGACCGTGGGACACGTGCTCCTCACTTACCAACCTCATGGCATGTGTCAAGGTATGCGTCATTTAACGTTTACAATTACGAATGTCAGGCAGATTTGTAAAAAGAAGAAGACCAGCAACATGTGACGTTCTTTTACACGATAATTGGGTTTTTTAAATCTCACGCAGGAATTAGTTTTTTCCCTAATTTTACGCAACAGTTGGGCACGTAAGCAATCGCGCGCTGAACATCAATTTCAGTCAAATCACTTGAACGACCCCCCCCCCCCCCCCCATTGTGAAATTCTGCGTATCGCCAACAGCACACACCGATACCTTGATACAGCCAAACATACATACATATATACAGACAGACAGATAAACAGCAACGACCGACATATTATCATGTTATCGCATGACATATCATAGCGGCCGGTACGGCATAAGCCTCGATGCGTTGTAGATGTACCGAGAGGTCAAATACAACTACAAACATTGATGCAAAATGCCATAGATGTCTAGTGCCACTAAATCGACAACAGCTGTGATGAATTACTAGCAGACGTGTGTAAATCGAAAGAGGAACATCAGCTGTAAAATGGCATAGACTCGCAGGCAGACTGGATAAACTATGGTAAACCGGGCGAGTTATAGGCAACCCACTCGACGGTTCTGTGATGTTATTATTAAACCATACCCCACCCACTCATATGTGGGGGCTTAGTTTAATGCGATGCACAATGTCCTCCTTTGCCGACCGCACACTCTTTGCATAACTGTTTCCGATCTAGTGGCATTTAATATTTATGCAATATATATATATATATATATATATATATATATATATATATATATATATATATATATATATATATATATATATATATATATATATATATATATATATATATATATATAATACACTTTCGCCAACTCGTGGATTTCCTATCAAAGTAACCGCGTTGCGCATAACCCATCACCTTAACGTGCAAACTACGCGGGCATCCCTCTGTGAACGACGCCAAGCAGTGCACTCACCTTGTCAGCTCCAGCACGCCCTCCCCGTCAGCGATCCGTTCCAAACTGCAGTCCCCGACCGCGAGCCGCCGCCAGCCGCCCATCTCCAAAATGAGCCAATCAGAGAGAGGCATCCGGAGAAGCCGGCCGGCTCTCGACGCCGATTGGTCGGCGCTGAGATCACAGGCGGCCGACACCGGCCGGAGCTGTCGGCTGATGTCAAGAAACGACTGCGGCTGTGGAAACCGTACGAAACTGCTGCTTCAATACCACTTCCATGACAGACAGCTTCTACGGCACAAGATCCTTCGCGCTACGCGATCACGTACTTACGTGACAAAATTTCTGCAGATACAAATTTCCAACGGCATCGCACCCACACCGAGTGCTGCTGCATGAGATCAGACTTTTCTGATTTTGCGTAGGTCAGACATAAGTTCCGTCGGCGTCACTTAAAACGACGAAAGTTCTATGCCAAAATGAACAAGAACTCAAAACCTGCTCGCGACAGACTGGCGACAACAAAAACTGCTATACGAAAAAACTGTCGTAGGGAAAGCTTCTACGCGTCATTACTCCACACGGCAAGACCGCTACGTAAAAAATTGCTCTTGATACCCCGTCTATGAAGGCAGCTTTCACGTTCACAGTTTTTTCCACGGAGTTCCACGGTCTTGATCGCTGGTGGTCAGTCAGTTCTTTAAGTGACTAAAACATGTATTACAGATTCACCGCGGCCTACAGTCGAGCCCGTCCTCGACTGTAGATAAGCAAATTTGTCTTGCGACCGCAACGAGCTCCGAAGACCTTCCCGCACGCCTCAGAAATGCTCCAGCGAATGGTAGCAACGAGGAAGGAAAAACTTATCTCCGGCGCGCGCCAGATGTGCTCCGACGGCCTTCGCCGAGCACACCAGATGTGCTCCGATGACCCTCGCCGAGCACACCAGATGTGCTCCGATGACC